GAGGCAAAGGACAGTACTTCATAGAATTATTACCACATACCATGAGGTAGCTCGAAGGAGCCTTTGATCTAAGAGTGTTATAGTTTACTCGGCTGTGCCTTGTTCTCTATTTAGCTCATTATTCCACTTGCGCTTGTTGGATATGAGCTGGCAGATAGTCAACGAGGCGCGTAGCGTCGATTTGGTTATAACCATCTCATATCCAACAAGCGCGAGGGGAATAATTACTTTAATAAACACGTCCCCGACATATTGAAACTAAAATAAAAAATAAAAACGCCTCCAAAACGTACGCGTACGCTTATCATATTTGTAGAGCATGGTATGACGCCTCATATACCATGATGACTAAGCCAATGAAAACTCTTGAATTATATTATTCAATGATCCAGGTTTTAATTAATAATCACTGATAGAAAACTCGGGCTTATGGTCTAATTGCTTAAAACTACAGTTGAAACCCGCTATTTCGAATGGCTGGAGTTCGAAATAGCCGATAATAAATGACTGAAGGGCAAATCCAAAAGAACGTGGTCTTGAGTTCGAAATAACGGTTAATTCAAAACAACCGAGTTCAAATTAGCGGGATTCAACTGTATCATTACCCAGTGGCTGACTATCCATAAGAAGCTCGCGATCTGATTGACTACGTAAGAGTGGTCTATCGATGGAGTAGTCTTAAGAGCGCGCGCTTGGTTTTACAGCCATCGTTGCCGGTAAGTATTAAAGAAAGCCGTTAATAAGTCACTTTTATCGATATTCTAAGGTCAATGTATTACCCGCTGGGTTATGATAATCAATGAGACTCCGCTCTAAGTTTCTATTGACTTTGATAGCTATTCAACAGCCGACAGAAGCTTTGAGCTCGCCCAAGCTGATAATTAGAACGTCAACATGACGTCACAATGAGTAGGGTTAACACAGACAACGGAAAAGCGTGAAAATGGGATGAGTCAAAATGCTTAGACAAGTTCGTCATATTTCTGAAGGAAACTTCTACGGCCTGCGGGTCACCAACAAGGCTCGAAAGCTGACTTTGGCAAAAGAGATCCGCACCCTTGAAGCCTGTAGAGATGTTCAGACACACGTTTACCGAAAGGAAGAAAAAGAGTTGTTAGGTACACTGAAAAGACTGCAGCTCACAAAACACGATCATTTTGACCATCACGAAGATTATGAACATCCAGAACGCTTGGCTTCCCATCATGACAGGGGCCCAAGTTTCCACGCTAAACAACACTCAGCAAGTGATGATCAACAGCCTTTACGAAGACCAGCTGAGCCTCAACACAGAAAAATTCACTTGAAAATTAAATCAGAAATTGGAGACGATCACAGATCTTCAACGAAAGTAAATGTAAGTACGAATGTCTCCGATGTGAGTGTAATTATATCGCATTCACCAATAGCAGATTCAAACACCGCTGCAAAGCAAATGTCTTCAAGTACTCTTCCCCCAGTGTCAAAAAGAGAAGCTGGAACAGACCTTCATAGGACAGAAGCGTTCACGTATTGTGTTGTTTGTAACTTACCGCCATACGCTCATGGACGGGAAAGTAAATGTACATGTCAAGGCAATCCTTCTAAGAAAGCTCACCACAGTCATGACCTCAAGAACGGTTCAAAGAAACGAATGAAAAGTAATACAGACGAAGAGGATCTGCAAAAGTTTGGTGCTCAAAGAGAGAGGAGGCGAAGCTGGGAGGATGACAATGTTCCCGCTCGGCTTGCGCTAAAACAAAGGTTGCCAAAGTTTGTGGGGAATCAAATACACCACGGAAGGAGTAGAACTTCCAGCTTTGAGGATGACAACAAGAACAGTCATGCACCAAGGGGCTTAGACGACTACACATCTTATGTACCAGGTATTGGTCCTCATAAGCGGAACTTAACAGACAACAATATAGTACCAACTGGTCATGGGTATGACCATAGAAAGCGCAGCAGAGAAAATAGCCTTGGGGAGTCTAAAAGTAGAAAGAGCAATCTTGATGAAGGTCCAAGCCGCTGGAGAAGTTATACTGAGGACCGAAGTAGAGAGAGCAGATTTGAGGACCAAGGCGAGCCCCATTACATGCGGCCACCCAAGGGTCATGGATCACGACCCAACAAAACTAGACAGGAGGAAGAGCTTTACGATCTCTATAACAGATTACAAAGAATCTTTCCTGTGCACGACAAACGGCAATACCACAGCAACGAAGGTGATCCTTATCACAGGTACAACCGTTATCCTGGTGACCATCCCCATTCCACCCACCTACCTCTGTCCAAATCGCACAGAGACGCAACCTCTGCTGAGAAAGCTGAAGACCAAGCACCCGCTTTCAGTGGCCTGCTACATCCTGACAACATCATCAACCATCATCACTTTCTGCCTCATGAAGCTAACAAACAGGAGAAGTCTCGCAGTACTAGTCTCCATGTTCCTGTGCATCCTGCTGGCTTTCACGTCTTTGGAGTTGATCACCATGGACACCGACAGGAAGTAAGTTGATAACCCGTTATTTTCAGTGAGAAGCCTCAAACACGGCACAAATAAATTTCCGCGTACAATAGTTGTTATCAGTAATTAAACAAGTTTGTCACACGACGCACCATTAACACGAGTCTGGTTCGATCGCCATGAAAATTTTCTTAATCTGGTGATCGTCATCTCGTCAGTGTACACATGAAAGGGAATCTTTTCGACCATAATGGTGTTCTCAAACAATATAGAAAACAAAGACCCCGTTGGCCAAAGGAGAAAATTTTCATGACACTTGTTCTATGACGTCAGGTTTCGATATCTTCTCTCTCACGTAATAATAACAATAACAATAACAATAACAGTAACAGTGACAGTGACAGTAATAGTGATAGTGATAGTGATAGTGATAGTGATAAAGACAATAATAATAGTAATAATAATAATAATAATAATAATAATAATCATAATCATAATCATAATCATAATTTCAGATTAAGAACTAGCGATTGAAAACGACGTTTCGATCTCCCTGAGACCATTTTCAAGTTGTAGAAAGTAAATTCGACTGTCTGATCTACGAAATGCTCCTTATAAAGGAACTTAGGCCAACTTTGAACAAACAGTCAGATTCAATCCGTGCAAAGTTATTTATATAGTTATTTTATAGCATTTTATTATTTTAACACTTGCATTGTAGCGCTTGTATTTACATATTTTATCATTGGACATCCTCACGCCCTAATTTGTACTTATATATGTGTATTTCATTCGCTTTTTCTACAACTTGAAAATGATCTCAGGGAGATCGAAACGTCGTTTTTTATCGCTAGTTTTTATTCTAAAACGTGTTTCAAAAAAACTAGTTATAAGAATAATAATATATATGAAACAATTACTCGATTCTGATTGGCTGAAAGCAGTGCAGTTGAAGTGTAACACCAGTGCAAAAAGCATAACACCAGTACAAAAAGCGTAACACCAGTGCAAATTACACATCGTAATTCTGGATTATGGTTGGCTGAAAGACAATAGGAACTTTTCTATGCCAATGATATCACGAAAAATGATGACGAAAATTTTGTGCGAAAACTTTGAAAAAAGTTTTCTCGAATGAGAAAAAATGGCTTCAAGAAAGATCTTCCGGCACTTCCTCCAAACGAATTTTTTGATGTTTATATTATTAATAAGTTATCATACGGTTTTTCTCATTCAATTTGGAATTGATTTGCACTTGTGAGTTTTTTAAAAAGATGAAATTGCACTCGACGAAGCGGCTCGTGCAATTTCAGCTTTTTGAAAAACCCACTCGTGCAAATTAATTCCAAATTGAACTCGAAACCGCATGATTACCTATACTACTACTAATAAATAAGCATATTTATGTAGGATGACCATTTCAGTTATAAAAACTGCTGTCAACATGGGTCCTGCGTAAAGTAAATAAATACATAATTAATAAAATAAAATACGAAATATGCAAAAATCCAAAAAGCTATATAAAATCTAAAAATAGACATAAAAAGAGAGAGAAAAAGACTAGATCTAGATTCAAATAAAATTATTAAAGATATCTGCCCCTTTATAAAAAATGCGCTTTTAGTCGATTCTAATAACTAATTTGTTCTTATTCTTAATTTCATAATCATGAGACACTTCAAAATATTTCCATTTTTTATTTTCTATTTTTACTTACTAAAGAAAGTTTGAGTGGAGCCTGAGGCTCTGCTCTCAACACTCAACAGGAACTATACACTCTAGCTATTCATTCCCTGACGCTTTCGCTAAAACTCACAAAATTAACAGTGTGTTAAGAATATTTATCTCAATGAATCTGCAGTTCTACGTGACACCCGCTTCGACTTCTCATATTGCTGCTGCCTTCGATCGAGACCACGATCAGGACAGTGGTATACACGCGATGCTTGTGAAACTAAAGCAGCTACTGAACGTCTATCATCAAATGGACAATGAGGCACACAGATATCCCTGGCCCAGTCCTCCCACGGGCAAATTCACCACTGAAGAATTTCAAAAGCTAAGAGACTGTAGATATCTACGGCTAACAAAGAGTAACATCGAGAGCTTGCAACAATTACAGAAGAACGTCGAGGAACAGAATCGATACAAAGAGAGGCAAACTTGTCAGAAAACTGATTCGATATTACTTGAAGTTCAACGAACAACAGAGAACCTAGCTACAAAGTAACGATAGTTTTGTGGTAAACAAGACAGAAGATTCAGATAAGTTTTTATAGATACAGCTGTTTGCAACAAGACGTCTCACCTCAGATTACACTTATCAAGACAGTATACATTCTTGCCGTTACAATATTTCGTTTACTCTTGTCATGGTGAAAATTCATGGAAATCAGAAATGTCTTTAAATTAAAAAATCTACCTATCTTTCTCAAATAAGTCATTATTTAATTAGTTCATTGAAGTCGCAAATAAGATGTATGGTTGTTTTCTTTCTTCTTTGTCTATTTCGAATGGAAACGGGCAATTACGTCAGTCCATACGGCTGTCTTCTTGAATGTGTCTGTTTCCCTCAAAGAAATAATTGTATCTGAAAAGTAGAAGTTCGGAACACATTCAATTTATAATTCACTCGAACAAACGAACGAATGAACGTATGTACGTACGTACGTAGGTACGAACGAACGAACGAATGACAGTATGTACGTACGTACGTACGTACG